GAGCAGTGCCTGGGTGGACACCCCGAGCTGGATTAGGACGTGGAGAAGCACCAGCAGTTTTGCTAGATGGTGGCTCTGAGCTTCTGCAAGGTGAAGCAGCATGACTCTCAGCAGGGCTAAAAAGCTTTGAGTCTATGGTAAAGGCAGAGGCCTCGGCGCCTTCACACACTCCGCTCAGTGTCCCCTTGTTACCGCTGATGGTGGGTCCTCAGAATGCTCATCACCACTTGCAGTGATTCCTTCCCAGACCTCAGGCCAGGATGCCCTCTCCCCACAGTAACGGAGCACACGATTTTCTTAGCAGAGAAGCAAGGCCAGAAAATAGGATGGCTGCGGTTTGTCCCCTCTTGAGGTGTTCTCTCACCTTTTATTCACTTCCATGTTTCTTCTTCGAGTCTCCCAACCCAAGCTGCTAATTCCCAACCAACGACTACAACACCTGTGCCTGCGGCTCACTTGCGATGTAGGGATGTGTTGGAGGAGAGCTGGATCTAACTGCTGTGCTGTGCATTTTCTGTTTTCTCTTCTGAATCCGTCAGCTTCCAGACATCAAGGAAAGTACTCCAACTGGCCCACAAAAGGAGAATGCTTCAGGTGAGGCTGCTGCTCTCACCCACAGCCCAGCGCCGAGCAGTGCTGCCTCCTAAGAACCACACGTCGCCCTGCTGCACCACAGGGGCCAACGGAGAATAAAAGTCTAAGAAATCTTAGTGCAGATACTCATCTCAATGGCGCAACAGTCTCCTCCTCGGGATATGCAAGCTGCTATCTGGTTTGATTTGGTTTTGGCCTGTATCCTCTGGGGTGATTTCACAGCAACTGCAGACTTAGCTAACCTTCCGCCCAAAGCTCTCTGCTTCCCCCACTGCTTCTCTCTACTGAACCAGAGATCTCCTCTCTCCATTAAATGCCCCGACTGGTGTTTCTCCTGGCTAGGATATCAAAGCTGGAGTCTTCATCAAAATGACTTAAAACGTGTAACAGAAACACTGGCTGTGCAATAACAGAGAAGACACAGCACATCGAACAGCGAACAAAACGTTATCTGCCAATTATCTAAGAGTTTCACACTTAGGGAAAATGACTTAATGTGGTGTACCGTCATCCAGGCTTCATTCTATGCATTTTTTTAAAATTACGAGATTGGAGCGGGGAGGTCATCTACACTCTTTTCTCTGTTGTTTTACTTCCCAACATTATACCATAAACTACTGTCCATCATGATAATGATGGTGACGTCCACATGTACAGGCCTTGATATGGACCAGGTACCCACTTACTGATGTGCCTAGAGTGACTTGCCACCCCACAGTGTTTCACGCACTGAAGAGACATCAGGATCAATCCATACCCAGATGCAGTGTAATCAGATAAAGCTGCTGCACACATTCACCGGCCTTTTGAGCCGGAGGACACTGGACACTGAGGTGCACTGCAGTTGAGGGGCAAATCCCAAGTCTCTTTATGTTTCTCTCTGACCTGGGTACAACCCTGACTCTGCCCTTGCTGGCTAGGTGGCTTCAGGGAAGTTATTTCCCCTCTTAACCTCTACGTGTCTCGCTTTTCTGGATTGTAAAAAGGGGATGTTAACATTAAAAATATTTACCTCCCAGTGTTGAAGAGACTTTTAAATGGCTTTTAAAATTCTATCTGTAGAGAAAGAGCTAAAAACAATGCCAAACCTATAGGAAGCCTCCGGACATGTGAGCTTCTACTCCTATGTCTCTTTACTTCTTTCTGTTTGTGCCCCTCATCCTTCCCCTCCTCTTTGCCGTGACATCTCTCCTCCTGCCCCCGGCCCCCGTACACCTTCACCTCACCCTCCGCCTTTCCCTCCCCACTGCCCCTCTCCTCAGACTCTCCAGAAACACTTTTACCATCTCCTCATGACGGAGCTCCGAAAATATTAATACATCAGCCTTTGTTAAATCAATAATGAGTATTAGTGGAAGAGAAAAATCCATACAATAAAGCTGGACAGGTGAAAACTCCATGAGAAATAAAGTCTTGCCGACGACAATTTGACTAGTAACAGTTTCCTATCTTTCCCAGGTTCACTGGTGACCATCTGATGCAGAAGTGGATTCAATAGAACTAACAGCAAGAAAAGAAGCCACATGATGAGGGTCTCTGGCCTTGAAATTTCACTCTTTTGACATGATTATGCAAATTCATAGACTTGTGTTCTGTCCTTATCCAGTGACCACTTACTTTTCCAACCATCGTGTAAGAGGTATGAACGGGTCATTTGTTCTAACTTCCTAGAGAAGTTTCCATTCAGGCTTCATAATAACCCATAAGGTTGGCCGAACACTCACTATGGTAAGGAAAAACACGCCCTCCCCTGGGCACCCACCCCCCAACCCCCGACTTGACTCTGGAGTCTCTTGAGTTGCTGACGTGAGAGTGCCAAGTCCCTCCGGGGAGTCAGAGGTAGTCTTGACACCACGCGTCTGGAAAACGCTTCAGGGAAATGTGAGAATGACAACAGGAACAGCAGCTAGAACTCACTGACAGCTCTCCACATGCCAGGCACTGTCCTGACAACTTTCCTTGTCTTAACACAGTCAGTGCTCTAAACGGCCCCAAGAAGCAGCTCCGCTTAGCATTAACTAGTATTTCCATGTTGTTACATGAAACGAGGCTCTCAGATTCTGTTAAGCAGCTTGCTCAGTGTCGCCCAGCTGTGAGGGCTGGAGGCATGGGTCTGAAGGCGTTGTGGAAAACCTACCCCGCTGTGTGTTTGTTCAGTCAGTGGTAAGCTCCAGTGGCCGGTGCAAAGTATGTAGAATAACGGCTAACACAGACCACTAACTGGTTGCAGGGCATGGAAGCACACAGTAAACAGAAATGTGAGTGCAACAGCAATCACGCAGACGGAAGCTCGACTGGACTGGATTCTGGAGACTTTCTGGAAACAGTACTCTCAGAGCCTCCTTAGAGAAGGCACCAAAAACCGGTGTCACTTCTGCACCCTCACAAAGGAGAGAGAAGCCTGGCGGCAAGAAAAATGGCACCATTCCTCTGCTCCAGTAGTTCCCAGACAAGCTGTCCACATGAGTCAGAACCCAGGAACTCTTAAAAAAATGCACATGCTGTGATCCACACCCAGTGAATCTCACTTAGTGTGGCCACAACGGTGCCCTAGAATCTGTGATTTTTTTTTTTTTTTAACTCTGCCTAGGAAACACTCAAGAACTGAATTAAGCCCCTTTGGGAGCAAGCCTGTCTCCAACGTACTGACTTTCTGGACAGATACACACCTGAGAAGACCAGCCTGAAAGCAGGCAAGACGACAGGATATAAAGAACACACGGCGTGAGAGTCAAAACAGGGGTAGGGCAGTGGATTTTCTGAGAAGACACCATGACGCCCCTGGCCTTTCTCCCTGAAGGGTTCTGTCTATCTCAAAACCATTCTCTTCCAGGCCAGTGGGTGGCGGTGGTGACAGGAGATGACATTTAGCTCCTAGGACAGCATGGGCTTTTCTCAGGGACCACGCAATCCATAGGATGTGAGGTTATGCGATCTATTATCCCCACCTCCTCTCAGCCTTTGGTTCATTCTTGCACCCACACTCCATTCCACGTCAGCCTGGAGCAACCAGAACTTGGGGCCAATGTCTTCCCTTCACCTGCCAGAAACCTGCCCCTGACCTTAGAAGATCATCTCCCTCTTCTCCTTGCAGCTGTCCGTCTGTGATCTCATCTGCTGTCCCAAACAGGACAGTAGTTTTCAAGCCCTAGCCCAGGCCCTCACCCTGCTGTCCGCACCTGGAAAGGCTTCTCATCAATGAGGAGAACCCCAGGCCCAGAGCTAAGGGCCGTGACTACCACAAAACCATCCTGGGCACTGACATCCCATGGCAGTGGTGACCTCTGAAACAAAGCTTTACCTCACACCCCCGCTGTCCCTGAAACGTTTTCTCATCGCAGGAAGCACACAGAAGAGGAAGGTGCCCGCGATCATTCCTTCCTGGAAGGTACTGTGCCCTACTCCACGCTGCCACGCTCTTTCCTCTGACCAAATGCAGACAAGGACCACAACCTTCCTATGTTTCTTCTGTGAATACCAGGCTTTGGGTGGGATGGGGGTACCTGCATAAGACCCTCTTCTTGTGGTTTAAAACCGCATCATACTTAGTATTTAAACCAAAATACTGGCACATTTTGGAGAGTTCAGAGGGCCATTTTGATTGCTGAAATGATGAAAGGGTGGTACTGGCATTCAGGAAGGCAAAGTTGCAGGGATGCAAATCTGTTTTGCAGAGATTTCAATACACTGGATTTTCCATTAATGTAACTTCCCCGTAAACTGAGGGAAACTGGCACGAGGTTTTACCTGGAAAGGTACCAATAACCCTTGACCGTTTTGGAAAACACATCAGCGAAAGCCAGTCCCTTCTTGGCTTGGAGTCTGCGACCACATGTCAGTATCACTCGAGAGCTGCAGCGGGACATGGAGGAAACAGGATGAGGGGAACCCAAGTGTACGGACCAGACGGATCTTCTGCAGGATATGCTGGGAAAGGACGGGAAGAATTCAGTGCGAGATGCTCATCCTGTGATCTGCCAGGAGTGGATGAACAAAACCAGCTTAACGGCTGCCACTTTGTTTCCATGTCTGTCTCCCTCACCAGAGTCTTACCTCCTTCTCGGAAGGCTGGAAACAACACCCCGCTCATCTTGGTGCCCTCGAGCCAGAGGACCTGACACTCAGCAGAAGGCCAGTCCACACTTGTGGAACTGAGGGACTGGGAATGGCTGGACCCCGCGTCATAATGACGAACCCACGACAGAACCATGTCCAGACTGAAGCACGTCAGGCTGTGGAGGGTGGGATGCAAAGTGCCACAGGTCTCCGTCTTAAGACCCCTGCAGCAGGGTCACAGGAGCCTGCGGTACTCACCTCCATTACATCCCTCAGGGGTCCCCGATTTGACCGGTTAAAACAATTCTCACCAACCATAAAAGTCTAACATAGAAAAAGAGATAACTTACTGCCGAAGTGTCTGTATGAACCTGGTTCTTAGCCGGCCTGAGGCACAAATTCGGGCACAGCACGCTCTGGTCGGGAAGCAGAGGCTGACCCGAAAGTCTTCCAGGCTGAGGCAGTGTCGGGCTAGTCAGGGAGCACACACAGGATGTGTAATCGCAGAGGGCACACGGGACACTCCTGAAACAGAGTTTACAACTGTTAGGGAGCCCAGAGCTAGACACACACGAATCAGGCGATGCACCTCACCAGGGCCTCGACGTGGCTTCCCACCATGGGACCTTCCCCTCCAAGACTCCGTGTCCACTTGCTATATTCATCTGAGCCCCTGGTTTCAGAGGGCTGCCTGGAGGCAGTCGGTTCCAAAAGTACGGTCTGTCCACAACACCAGTTCACCCTCTTTCCGAGGGAGGAGGTCACGGGGAAGTGCTGTGCGTGCAAAGCCTGAGAGCTGGGGGAATGCCTGCTGTCCCACACTCAGAGCTCTGGCAGGTGTGGTGGGGAGATGTGGGGGGATCAGCAGCCAGTTTGCATCAAAGTGCTCACAGACACTTGGAAAGACGGCACCGCGAGTATTTTCTTTCTTTCTTTCTTTCCTTTTTTTTTTTTTTTTTTAAGATTTTATTTATTTGACAGACAGAGATCAGTAGGCAGAGAGTCAGGGAGAGAGAGAGGGGGAAGCAGGATCCCTGCTGAGCAGACAGCCCCATGCGGGGGCTTGATCCCAGGCCCCTGGGATCCTGACCTGAGGGAAAAGCAGAGGCTTTAACCCACTGAGCCACCGAGGTGCCCCACCGCGAGTATTTCTTTAAAAAGGTTTCCAGGAACAGTTTGAGCAAAAAGAGGACATTAATGTCTTTGTTTCCTCCCTCTGCCTCTCCCCAGGGGCTAGGTTTGGGTTTTCTCCACTGCTACAGATCAGTGTACGATTCTGAAATCGAACCTTTACGTTTCTTTACTCATCCCCTACTCTCCTCCAAACCCTTTGTATGGAGGGGCTGCTCTCAAAAGGGACAAAAGCATTTTCATAGAAAAACCTATTGCATAACCACAAAGACTTGTGATCATCAGGAACCGTCAGGATGAGATCCCGAATTTTAAACATTTTCAGAATGGGTTTACATCACCTCCTGCCCCCTTTGTCTCTCTCATTCACACAGTGACCAGGCTAGACTAGGTCGTTCCCTTCCTTGCTGGGCGCAGCTGCATTGAATAGCGGCCCCGCCTCACATCTTGAATCAATTTTCTCAATACATCCAGACGCTACAAGGATCGAACGAAGCCATTTTGAAATCCTCCCTTTTCCCCTCTCATTGAAAGCTTATGCAAAAGGCTAGCAGTAAACTGACACTTACCGGGTGGCCACACAGGGGCCAGGGGCCTTTCTGGTTGGAATGCTGGGAGAGGCAGCCACAGCAGCAGGAAGCAAGGTGAAGAAAAGGCTGGAGTGCCTTCCCGCGTCTCTGCCTCTAGTTTATGGAAAGCTTTTTCTGGCTCAGGGAACTAATTAGTTTCCTCCCACTTGGGAGGAGAGAGCAAGTTAAACCTGCAACATTTTTGGCTGACCCAAAGCTCACCTTTGGGAAGGCTTGTATCCTTTCCCCTGGCCCTGAGAAAATAAAGCGCTAAGTCACAAGGTGGCTACAGGAGTTCAGCCGCGGTTCCGTACCATGGGTACATCCACAGTCACCGGGGCACAAAAGGTTCATCATCTCTACCACATCACCCTTCCCTTACTCAAAGAAGTCTTTCACCATATTTTAGTTGAGTCAGGGTCTTCTCGCTAGTGAGTCCCACGGCTACCACCGCTCTTTCCGATGTCCCAAGACCACCCTTCCTTTTGGGGAATCCCCAGGAGGACCCAAAGGACTCAGCACACACAGTCATTCATCTTCAGGGCTAAGATTTATTACAGCAGAAGGATACAAAGCAAAGTTACCCAAGTAACATCTGGAGGAAACCAGTGCAAGCTTCAAGAGTCCTTTCCCAGTAGAGTCATGCTGTTTGTGCCTCCACCAACAAATCATGACGTCGCACACGAAATCTTGTCTACATGGAAGCTCATGCATGACTAACACCGTGTCGGGAGGTTTGTTTTGGGGGCTGGTCACGTAAGTACTCTCCGCATAGCACGTACCAAGATTTCAGATTTCCAGAGGGAAAGCAGGTGCTCAGCATGAAACGTATTGCTTGGACAGTTTAGGAAGAGTAAAGCATCCTGCTTGGGTAGGGAATGGTGGGAAGCCTTCCGACACTCAAGTTCCCAGATGCAAGGTAAGGGCCAACATGCTGATCTCTGCAAGGGTAGTGGTGGTCTCAGGCCTGCTCTGTTAACTCTTCTCTGCATAACACCCAACAACAAAGCTTCAAGATACATAACCAGGTCAGAGAGAACGGGAGGATAAATGAACAAACCTACAAATGATAGCTGTAGAGTTCAACACTCACTCAGTGGTATCAGAAGGAACGGAAGAAAATCAGCACTACGTAGATGAACCGAACAACACTGTGAACTACCTGGATGTAAGTGACAAGTACGGAACCCTTCCCATAGCAGCGGCAGAATACACATTTTTTTCAAGGGCACAGGGAGTTTCACCAAGGTACTCTGCATCCTGGGTCATTAAAGAAATATTACAAATTATAAAACAGTTGAAATTATACAGAGAATGTGGTCTGAGCAGAAGAGAGAAACTTCCAATATGAAAGAAAGAGTGAAGAGGAAAATCTCCCAATACAAGGAAATTACACCATTTCTCAAGGGAAATTAGGAAATATTCTGGATACTAACCCTTCACTAGATGAACTGAATGGAAAGGAAAATACAACATATCCAAATTTGCAGGATGCAGCTACCCCAGCGCTTAGCAGGAAAGGTACAGCATCAAATGTTTGTATTAGAAAGAATCAAGGATCCAAATCAATAATGAAAGCTTCCCCCTTAAGAACTAGAGAAAGAAAATAAAAAGAAACTCAAAGCAAGTAAATAAGGGAAAGAGACATTACAGCAGATATCAGGCAAAGAACAGTGGGTGAAACCAAAAGCTGGTTCTTTGAAAAGGTCAATAAAATTCCTAAGTTTCTATGCACACCGAGGCAGAAAGAAAGATAAGGAAAGATACAACTTAAGACTCTGAGGAAAGAGGGGCACCTGGGTGGCTCAGTGGGTTAAATCCTCTGCCTTCGGCTCAGGTCATGATCCCAGGGTCCCTCGTCGGGCTCTCTGCTCCGCAGGGAACCTGCTTCCTCCCCTCTCTCTCTCTGCCTGCCTCTCTGCCTACTTGTGATCTCTCTCTCTGTCAAATAAATAAAATCTTAAAAAAAAAAAAAGACTATGAGGAAAGAAACAGGTTACAGACTCCACGGAAACTGAAAGGATTCTAAGAAATAACTCTGTGCACCTACATTTGGTAACTTAGATCAAACAAACAATTGCTTGAAAGGCACAAACTATTAAAAGTCAACCAAAACCAAGCAAACCAACCAACCAACAAACAACGACAACAACAACAAAAACCCAACTCACCCAGATAATCTGAAAAAGAAACATAAATTTAAAATTTTTTATCTTTTAAAAACTTTCAGGAAAGAAATCTCCAGGCCCTGCCGGTTTCTCTGGAAAATCCCACCACACATTTAAGAAGAAATAACAGTAATTCTATGCAACCTCTTCAAATAGAGGAGAGGGAACATTTCTTGAATCATTTGATCAGATCAGCATTACCCCGATGCCAAAATCAGACAAAGACAGTACTAGCAAAACAAATTCAGTAATATACAAAAACAGTAATACAACATGACCCAGTTGGGTTTATCCTGGAAATGCAAAGGCAGTGCAGTATTCAAAAACTCAACGAATAGGGGCGCCTGGGTGGTTCAGTTGGTGAAGCGTCCCAGGGCTTTAGCTTTAACTCCTGGTTTTGGCTCAGGTCAGGATCTCAGGGTACTGAGATGGATGGAGCCTTGCCTTGGCTCTATGCTCAGCAGGGAGTCTGCTTGTCCCTATCCCTCTGCTCCTCCCCCCCCACTCCCTCTCACTCTCGCTCTTTATAAATAAGTAAATAAATCTTCTAAAAAGTCAAATAATAAATTCATTAGTGTATCAAAAAAAAGAAAAAGAACCACACGATCCTATCAATTCATTCAGAGAAAGCATTTGACAAAACTCAACAGCCATTCATGATAAAAGCATTCAGCAAACCAGGAACAGAAGTGAGTTTTCTTAACCTGGATATAAAGTATCTTAGAAAAATACCTACACCGTCCATTCTACTTAATGGAGAAAATCTACATACTTTCTCCCAAAGACCAGGAATGAGGCTAGGGTAGCCACCCTCCCCTCTGTTATTCAGTATTTGCTGGAAGTCCTAGCCATTCCACAAAGGAAAGAAAAAAGAAAGATCAGAAAGGAGGAAATAAAACTATTTCAATTCACAGATGACATGATTATGTACATAGATAATCCCATGAAATAAAACAACAACAACAACCACCTCGTAGAACTAATAAGTGCAGTCAACGTTGCCGCAGCATACAAGCTCAACACAAAAAGTCAAGCGAATTTCCACATGCTAGCAACGAACAATGACCTAACCAAACAAAAAGCAGACATCACTCGCACATACCATTTACGACAGCTTCCCTTCTCAAACCTAGCGAAATGTACACAGGATCCGTGTGCCCTAAACCACAAAAAGCTGGGGAAAGAAGTATAGGAAGACCTGAATAAATGGAGACATGTACTGTGTTCAGGGGCTGATAAAGTCAGTATAATTTAGATGTCAATAGGTCCCAAAGGGATCCCTCATTTATTTACTTTTTAAAGATTTTTTATTTATTTATTTGACAGAGAGAGAGAGAGAGAGAGAGAGAGATCACAAGTAGGCAAAGAGGCAGGCAGAGAGGGAGGGGGAAACAGGCTCCCTGCCGAGCAGAAAGCCTGATGTAGGGCTCGATCCCAGAGCCCTGAGACCATGACCTGAGTTGAAGGCAGAGGCTTAACCCGGTGAGCCACCCAGGTGCCCCGGGATCCCCCATTTAAATACAATTCCAACCAAAACTCCCAGTAGGACTTTTAGGAAATATACACTGATTATGCAGTTTAGGTGGAAAGACAAAGGAGCTAGAACAGTCAAATAATTTTGAAGAAGAAAAAAATAACTGGAGGAGTAACACCAATTTTATGACTTTCTATGCAGCAACAGCCAAGATATGGAAACATCTGTGTCCACGGAGGGATCCATGGATCCTGAAAATGTGCTATAGATACACGACAGAATATTATTTGGATATACAAAGGAAGAAAATCCTGCCTTTTGCAACTACATGGATGGACCCTGAAGACTTTATACTAAGGTAAGTCAGACAGAGAAAGACAAACACTGTATGTTCTCACGTATGTGGACATTTAAAAAGCAAACTCATACAAATAGAGATGAGAATGGTGTGTGCCAGAGACTGGGGGGAAACGGTGGTTCTGGGTACCAAATTCCAGCCATAAGATGAATAAGTTATGGGGATCTAATGTAATATAGATAGCATGGTGACCATCATTCACAATACTGTATTAGATATGGCAAGTTAAGAGACTAGATCTTACATGTTACCAGCACACAAAAACGGTCATTACGCGAAGGAACAAGAGTGTTAACTAACGTTACGTAGTAAGTATTTTACAGCATATACATGTATCACATCATCACCTTGTATACCTTCAGTTTACTTACGTTATATATCAACAGTACCTCGATAAAGCTGAAAACACAAAATTATCCCCAATATGTTCCAGTGGGAGCCCCTTCAAGAGATTTTCTGTGTCCTTCTGACATCAGCCAATCCTTCCTTGACCTGGCCCTTATTACTGGTACCACAAGTTGAGCCAGGCTCATTTCTTCTTTCCCTCTGCCATCCCAACACACACGCGTATCTATCAATCACACATCTGTATCTATCAATCTATGCGTATATGCACACATACATACTGAAAAGCACGAGTTCACATGCTTAAGAACTCCAATCCCAATGTAACACCTCAGAAATTGTTTTCTTCAGTGAGAATCATGTCTCCCAATATGCTTCCTCATTTACTGAGCTGACGAATCCCGCTGGATATAAGCCATACCACCTGCACAACAGAGGCCCCCCCTCCCATGCTCTGCTGAACCACTCCCCGACCATGACCCCCGTACACCACTCCAGTTGGAATCCTTGAGCCAGTAAGCCTTCTCCCCATCCAACTCCCAGAGACATCGTCCTCACCACCGTGGGCTCTGTTCCCCATACAGCCTGCTCCTATGTATGGATGCCCTCCTCCCCGTGCCTGGGCTCTGACTCCTCAAGCGTCGGATGCCCCTACACGCATACACTTGCCATGCTCTGTAGCCGCAAATGGCTTTAGGGCTGAACTGCTCAGGTACAGAAGAGAAGAGAAGAGAAGAGAAGGGAAACAAAGGGGAGGGGAAGAGGTGAATACATCTCAATACAATCAGTTAATTAAGGTGAATTGGGCCAAATCTGGGCAGTATCACGAAGCCAGTGCTTTTTGCTTCTTTTCTTCCTCACTGCTCTCCACCTTTCTCTTTCTGCCTCTCTTCTCTACCCCTGTGCTTTCTCAGTCCTGTCCTCCATCAAGTGTAGAAAGGTAATGAGGGTCGTGATTCCCGTATGATCATTTCTGTGAGCTGGCTGACTGACATCCAGTGTGAATGGCGTCTATCCTGCGGCTCCGACACTCAAGCCCTCTGTCTCTCGTGACCGAGCACAAGGTTTCCCCCTGTTTTAGCAACTTCAGGTGTAAGCAGAAGAGCAGATTCTGCGTACTTCTTGGAGCCTTGCGTCCTTTGTCTGTGAAAAGGGGATGAAGACCACCTCTCTCTCACAGGTTGTGGGAGAATCAGAGACACCACCACCAGACACCTCTCGATGAGCTGTGTGTGCCAAACCCCGCGATGAAGACTTTGAGCAGCATCACAGGAATCCCTGATATCCAGGAACACACCCAGTGGATGTCCCCTCAGCACTACTGCACCTGCTGTACCTTCTTCCTGTGATGTTCTAACAAGGCAGGTGGTTCCATGGCCTGCTCCTTCACTTCCTCAGTCCTCTGCTCAGTCATTACGGTGTGAGGGAGTCCTTCCCTCATCGCCCTGAATAAGTAACAATATGCTCCCCACAAACTCTTTCCTCTAACTGGCCTTATCTTTCTATGTAGCACTTGCCACCCTCTGATACTCAATATATATTTACTGGCTAACTATGAAATGCGGGACTTTGTCAGTTTTGTCCTGTATTCTATGTGCTCCTAGAAAAGTACTGGGGCTCACAGCAGGTGATCAAAGAAAATTCTTGGGGAAGGACGGCTGGGAGTCAGGACATCTACACTTCTAAGTTGCACAGGTACCCTCCAGGGCAGGCACTGGCCCCACTTTTTTTTTGACTGCGGTCCGTATTCAGGCTTCAGGAGACAGGTGACTTGCCCAACAACACAAACAGGACGTGGGGCTCTGGACTTTGGAATCACATCTGCCAGGTTCCAAGACCCTCAGTTCCTGGACAGAGACCTCAAAATTAGAAAGGTAAAAGATTTCACTTCTAAGACACAGACCACCAAACAGCTCAGATAGACACAATAAAAACAGATCACTGAACACAACCTAAAAAGCATTCCAAAAATCTCTGCACAAAGAGTTCACAACTGGAGTCACAGATTCCCCAAAGCAACAGAGATCACACACACTGAGACAACTCCCACACCTCAACAAGCCAACGTCTCCACTCTAGGACACAAATTAAATCTGCTCAGATATGTCACATCTTAGAGAGACTCCCAAACCATGCAGACACCTCCCAGGCTAATACAAAGACCTCCACAAAAAGAGAAAGACAGAAGTTCAAATAACTCGGAAACATACAGAACCTTCCGATAAAGCCCCCAGACAAATCAGAGAACCTACACCTTGGACACAGACTCCCAAACAGCTCAGATCCTTAAGACAGTGCCCTCCCCCAGGTAGCTCATGGACATCACAACTTAAAACCCCAAATCACAAACAGCTTAGAGACCTCACACCCTAGGGTGCAGATGCCAACATAGGGACCTCAAACCCAAAGACACCAATGCACAAAGCGCTCAGAAAGCGCACCCCCCGATATACAGGCACAGACAGCCTACGACACTTTATCCCATGACGAACACAATCCACTCCGATATGCAAAAGGCTCAGAAAGATCAAATGTACCCAAACTGCATCTGTACTGACCTACCTAGAGCGATGCACATCCCCGAACTGCCTGACACACTTCACCTCCTAGGTAGGGACGCCAACCAAGCGCACAGACCTCGCCCTGACCATAATTGATGGCATCTGTACGACTGAGGCGCCGTGCCAGACCGGCCCGATTAGGCTTGTGACCGAGTTAGGTCTGAACAAGACTGAAAGAGCTCACGTGAAGACGGTACAGTCACCGCGCGCGTCCAGCGCCAGACACTGGCTACCAGCCAGCTGTTGCGCCGAACTTCGCCACCGACTAAGGTAGCATCTTCATTCCCTCGCAGCAGCCGGTCCCCGAAGAGTTCAACCCGGAGAAAACCTGCACACTGCGAAAGGCACGCGCATGCGCGCGCTCGCACGCACGCTCGCACGCACGCTCGCACACCCAAACACCACACACACCCCTCCCCCTGTGCTCCAGCTCAGCCGCCGTACTGCCTGTCCCAGCCCGATGACCAATGGGAACTGGGTACTCGAAGACAGAGGCGGGGACTAGGGGGTGCGTCCGGAGGCACTGTGCGCCTGGGAAGGGTTTACTCTGATTAACTCTCCGGAGCCAATCACCACCTAGAAAGTCGCTGTCCCCGCCCCCTACAATGGAGAGCCAATCTCTCGCCCCGTTGTTTCCCAGCTGGACGTGACCATGTAGAGACGGCGAAGTGAAATGAAGGCTGCGGGCTCAGACCGGCTGTCCACTCTGGCTCAAATGCGCCGGGAGAATGGAGTGGAGCGGGTGGGGAAGGGCTCGGAGGCGTATTAGCGCCTCCGCTGGGGGCCGTGGCTGATGCAGACCTTCGGCGTAGTCTCCTACACCGTGGGTTATTGCAAAATCGGACCCCGCGTCTCTAGTGGTACCTTCCTGCTCAGATGGTCCTACCTCTGTGCCCGTGGGAGGTACGTTCGGAGAGTCTTCCTGGTCCACCTGGAGCGCCCCTTAGTGGTGCGAGCCTGGAATGGCTGGTCGATGTGGACGCCCATGGGCTCTTCCAGGCTGGCCCCAAAGAGAGGAAGGCAAACCAGGACGCAAACCCCACAGCTCACTGCAGTCTTGGACTCGGGGGGAAAAGTCTTGCTAAGCTGAAGTTTACGTCCCGCCAGTGGCCACCATTGTATCAGGGAGCGTTACAAGCGTTTTCAATGTGCTGGGCGTTACGCTGGCTTGTGTCTTCCTGAGCAATGCAGAATGGGTCTAGTGGGGGTGTTAGAGGCCTGGTGTGGGGCAGGCCTCTGTGGTCGACTATCAGGAATAGATCAGAGAGATAGCAGGATCTTTGGTTTTGTTAGGGAAGGAGCCATCTCCCAGGGCCCCGAGGACACCGAGAAAGTGAGATAAAGACCGCCGACTCCGTCACCATCCTGCCACTCCTGAACTTGATCCCTAGGAGAATCCATTACCCTTTGTGGCTTTGGGTCTCATCGCCCGCCGTGCATTTATTTATTCATTCTGTCATTCATTCATTCATTCTCTCCAAATTAGGTGTCAGACCATATAATGGTTGTTAGGAATACAATTGTATGGATATAGGGGGGAAAAAAAAGAAAACCTTGCTTTCATGGAGTTTACATCCTACTGGGATCATACAGCACAAAAATGTTAGGAAGTTGTCAGGTTTTGGCAATTGCGATGGAAATTAAATCAGCAAAATGAAATAGAGGGGTGAATTTCTAGAAACAGGTCAAGGAAATTCTTTCAAAGCATGTGATCCTTGAGCAGACCCCTAAAGGAGATGAATATCTGCAAGAAAAGTATCCCAGACAGAGGTAGGAGCCAGTGGAAAAGGGCAGGAGTGGAAATTGGCCCAGGGTGTATGAGGCACTGTGAGGTCTGTGGCTGCCTCAGCTTGGCTGAGGGAGAGAGGTAGGATATGAGGTCGGAGGGGGCAGATCTTGTAGCGCCTTCAGAGCCAAGGTGAGGAGTTTGATTTACTCTGTGAGCCCTGGAGGTTTGGTTTTGGGGCTTTTTGTTGGTTGGTTTGGGTTGGGTTTGTTGTTGTTGTTGTGTTTTGTTTGTAGTAGAAAAGCCCCTAGGGTTCTTTCAGAGGCAGAAGCCCAGGGCACCCAGTTCATGGGAAACAGCTCCTTGCTTGCCCCAAAGGAGAACCTTCTCTCTACCCTCCCTGCAGCTGAACATGCCTTCCTTGGACAGTTCCATAGACTCACGAGCAAACCCCCCCCCGCCCAACGGTTCCCCATGAACAGCCATGTGAAAGGATGATAGCCTCAGGAGAGGCCAAGCAAGGGCCTCTGGCATGACTGAGGTCCCACACAGGTGGGTGGGCAACAGAGACAAAGTTACAGGCACAGAGAAGCCAGAGAAAGAAGAGCATTAGAGAGACCAGGACAGAGACTCTGGCCGCACACTCTCCCCACTGAATTAGTACCCACCTAGGGGCCCCCAGCTCTGCTACTGGAGGCTGTCTGTCTCTCCAGAGCAAAAGATGCCCCTGACGTAATAATTCAGCTGTCTGTGATCTGGGCCTCAGTCACACTGCCTTGACCCACATTGGGACGCTCTGCTCCTCAGGACAAGGACATACTTCAGTTACGGGGAGGCTTATGCTGTACACATGGTTCCTCATACTCCCTCATGCCCTTGATGACCCTCCTGCTGATCTCAGTGCCCAAAAATGCTGCAAGGAGGGAAGCGAAGGCAGGAATCTCTAGGTTTGCTTGAGGCTTTGTGCAACGTGATGCACTGAGGTACTTCCCTCACCTCTGTACTTTCCACCCCCACCTCCACATTTCATACATCAAACGCTGAGCCGGGGAACAGGGTGTGTGCGTGAGAGATGGGGAGACAGACATCCTGAAAGTGAGTCGGTTACATGGTCTTTGTGGCCTTGGGCAACCCTCGCCCTTCCCCCTTCCTGGTCACCCCCTACCAGGCGTTGCTGTGCTGAGCTGTGCCTGCCTCCTTCAAAGAGCTTAAGTCACATCCAGTTTCTCCCTCCTCAGGAGCTGAGATTGCCCTTCCTCCCTCGTCTTCAGCCGCCTCATGTGCAAATGATGACCTTCTCCTTAGTTGTTGGGCAAATTAACTGAGTTGGTACGTGTACATCGGTTTGTGACGGGGACGGGGATAATGTTAGCTGATATGCGTCTTACCTTTATTGTTAACATGGGTTCCCAGGAGCTGCATGTGACTGAGGAAAGGCCCTCCCTGAGGATGGGGAGCCGAAGCTTTCATCCCTGTGGTAGCAGGCCAGGCATGGGGACAGCACAGCAAATGTGAAGTCCCAGGTCTAGCGCTAAGCCCTCTGTGACTGAGGTTCATCCTGCCTTCCTCTCAGCCACATTCTCAGATGCAGATACATGAACTGCTCAGAGACCCAACTCTCTGGACAAAGACCACCCCCCCTCCCCACCCCAAATAGTTAGGAGACCTCGTACCCTGGGATAGAGATTCACAAGTCGTCCGGAGATCTCTCATCCTAGACATCAACCAAAAAACAGCTTGAAGCTTGTCACACCTGACAGCATAGTGCCAACTCTCTGAGAGGTTTCCTAGTCCTAGGAACAGCTGCTCTTCTGCTCAGAGGCCTCCCGCACCCACTCTCAGAGCCTACAGGCTGCACCCGGTGACACAGAGCCGCAAATCTGCAGCTCAGGGCTGCTGTATGGGCAGTGACAGTGACTCTCTGTTCCGTCCACCCTGTCGCGGACAGGCCTGGTGTCTCGCCGTGCTCACTGTCTGCTGTCACCACGGTGTTACCCGGAAGTCGGGTTCACCCCAGGGCTGGGGAGTTCTCTGGGACTGAAGGGTTCTGAGAGTCACCTCTCAGGTCTGGATCCTGGGGATGACCGTGATCTGACCCACTCTGGTCACCTCTGGTCACAGTGACTTCTGCGTCCTGCCCCTCGAGGTGTTAGGGTGAGTCCTGGGTGCAAAAGGAGACCCGTGGATCCTGTCATCTCTGCCATCTCTCCGCACCCACTGTAGGATACTGTATCGTGGAGAGTGGAGAGGCCTTTCCTTCTCACTGCCTCTGCCCTCTCCCCTTAAATCCCTCTGAACGGTCTTTTCCTTTCCCCAAACCTCCTCTTCTGCTGGCAGCTGCTACACCCCTTCTCTCTGCAGACAGCTCTCTTTTCCCCTTGCCAGCCACCAGGCATCCCCTTCCACCCCGGGAGCCTCTTTAACTTCATTCCCGAGCCCTAGTCACGGGGCCTCAGGTACACCCCACATCTGCCGTTTTTATCCTGTCAACCAGCACCCCAGCTTTGCCTCAGAGCACCCACTCAGGACCTTTCCTGCTCCCTGCTAGTGCACAGCATTGTCCAGGACAGAGCTCTTTTCTTCGTCACGCAGGGCTCTGTCATAACGTCCCTGTTTGGGAGGAACTGAAATTCTCCAGGATTCAGGTGAAATTTCAGCCTTAGACTGGGAGTCCCGGGCCATGAATTCCCCAGGGCTGAGGGTAAAGGGAAGGTTTTCTGAGAGGAGGAGCTGCAGTGAGGCAGGTTGACACTGTGCAGGGCTGGGGCAGTGAGCACAGAGAAGGGTCCCTGGAAGGGACTGGGGCCTCATGATCACATTAGTGTTCCTGTGGCTGTCCTTAGGGGCTTTTTAGCCTCTGGCCAGCTGTGCCCCAGGGCAGCTGGACAACCCAAGTCTGTTACCTGCTTTGTCTGGGCCCGGGTGGCCTCATCGGTGACTGGGTTTTCTTGTAAGGGGGCCTAGTGAGGATTAAGTGAGCTGGGAGCTAGGAAGTTCTTAGGACACTGCAAAACAGATCAGTGATCACCTCACACTCAGCGCCAGGTGCACAGGGTGCTATCTGACTCCTGGAGTGATCTCACTTAACCCTGCCCTGATGGGCAAGTGTCTTCAGCCCTATTGACTGGACAGAGCACCACTCCTGGAGTTGGGCTTAGATGGGTCCTCCAGAGCTGCACTTCAAATGCCCACCCATGGACCACAACACCTGACCACGTGAGCACAGGCACCGGGCTTGGGGCTCCTTCCCTCTGCCCTGCAAGAGCCAGAGCTGGCAGTCTTCTGGTGGACCACCCAGAGCCGCCCTGGATTCCTGCCTGCCTCATCCCACCATCCGTCACCTTCCCCTTGGCCGCCTCCCGTGTCATTCAAATGTGTCAGAAGTGGCGTAGCCAAAGTGGGACTAGAGTGGCCCCGTGGGGATATCCTAGAATTGGTGTATGCCCTGTGCTGGGCTTGGCGTCTGGGGTGCAAGACAGCATCATCGTCACTTCTGTCAGAGGCTGGGACTGATCACCGTAGGGTGGGATGGACTTTATGGCCC